GAACTGGGGCGTGCTACCATGAAGCCAAAGATCATAACTTCTGTTCGGATGCTGCAGGAAACAGAAGCAGCACAGCGTTGCTTCAGAAATGCTTCTCCGTGATGAAACATGTTTTCTTCCACATTTTCTTCCAGATCCTAAACGGGACACAGAGCAGAGAGTCCCACCCCAGGAGTGGCTACTTGCAGTTCGGACAGAGTTGGTTCAGCGATTGTCAGACGCGACTATCAACCAGCTGCTGGACCGACTCTATGGGAACGGTGTCGTCACTGAAGAAGAGAAGAACGTCATCAGAGCACAGATGGGAGCTGATAAAGCCAGGGAGCTCATCGACAGGGTTCGCAATCACGGACATGATGCTGCTTCAGTTCTGACCACTGCTCTTAATGAGGTCGATTCATTCCTTTTCAGAAACCTGAACCTGAGGCAAAAGCAAGAAAGTGTGTAGTTGAGATGAGCTGTAAGAGCTGGCCTGTTCACACTCTCAGATTGCCGTTAAATGAGAAGCTCTGTTGTTTGAAGCAGCTATGTTAGGGAACGGTCTTTGACTGTAACTGTTATCCAGTGTTTGTCAAAGTCCTACTGGCCCCAAACGTATCTATTAAACATACTTAATTACCACTGCAGTAACCACCCTGAACAAGATGAAATAAGACACTGAACAGGACATTTTATCGGCTGTTGTTTCTTTTAGACGTCTGTGCTTTGTGAGCTTGTGTCTTAAGGGTGTTTTCATTTGTGTTGTATTTTTATTGTTGTAGCCTCGTCAAAGGAGAATTTCTGTCACTGTTTGGGACAGACAACAAAGTCTATCTATCTATCTATCTATCTATCTATCTATCTATCTATCTATCNCATCTCTGTGCTCTCACAGCGCTGCGTCTGGACAACCAGCTGTCTGTTGTCCAGTTCACTGACGAAGGAATGAGCACGTTGAAGCCGCTGCAGATCACTGACACCCATGTGGTCGTGGAGGTCGCTCACCTCTCTCTCTTCGGCCTCACCTGGAATTCTATTGAAAGACCGATCTCACTCCCAGTACGTGGCAAAGTGGTGCTGTTCCTCCGGCCTCCAGGGAGAGCGCCTCGGACACTTCATGTGTTTCTGCTGCAGGAAAACGTCCCTGTGGAACAGGTAAAGTGAACAGAGGTGTGTCTCACGCTGTGGTTGCAATCGAACCGTCAACTCTTACATCCGAGCTTCAACATGTTTCAGAGCTGATGTCCTCTGACCTGATGTCCTAGTCTGTCTTCACTGGCTACCAGCTGCCATATCTCCCCTCTACTGGTGTCCTGGTCTCTCATAACTGGTTGTCAATGACCAGCAGAGACTTTCAATCTCTACTTCCGCTCTCTTTTTTTCTTTCCACTCTCTCTGGTAGGATCTCGTGCTGATCAGACGTATTCTGTAATTCTCATCTAACAAACTTTGGTCAACATCCAAGGTTTTCAATACCTCCATAAAGAAATAGAGTTGGCTACCTGTTCATTCACACGATGATAAATGTGTTCTTTCTTGAAGGTTGCTGCCCAACAAGGAAAAGCAGAATACATCCCGATCTCAGCTGAGTGTGTTTTGAACACTGGTCAGAGTTACAGTGTCCTCTGTGAACAGGANCAGAGAACTGATGTCTGATCTCAGGGTGGGGCTTCAACCACCTCTCTGCACCATCGAGCTGCCTGCAGAGTTCTGCAGATCCTTCCTCTGACACTATTGGCATTTTCCCAGCTCTGCTAAAGATGACACATCTGAACGGTGGCCTTACATGATTTGATTATGTGTTCCTCTCTGGGTGCTTTGGAACCTCTGACATCTTAGGATGTGTTCCATGGTTCCACCTTGTGGACAGAGTTGGACTTTTGTCTCTGTTTAGTCCCTTTGTGTAAAGGTTTTAATGGGCTGTTTGTGGCAGCAGTAAACTGAGTAAGAAATCCCAGACCCTGGGGAGCTTGGCAATCAATCAATCAATCAATCAATCAGTCCATCCATCCATCCATTCATCCATCCATCCATCCATCCATTCATCCATCCATTTCTTCCACTTATCCGGGGTCGGGTTGCGGGGGCAGTAGGCGGAGCATGTCGTTCCAGACTTCCCTCCCCCTGGCGACGCTTTCCAGCTCTTCCTGGGGGATCCCAAGGCATTCCCAGGCCAGCCGGAAGCTATAATCCCTCCAGCGGTTCCTGGGTCTCCCCCGGGTACTCCTCCCAGGTGGACATGTTCAGAAGACCTCCAGAGGAAGCCTCCCTGGAGGCATCCGGATCAGATGTCCATACAACCTCAACTGGCTCTTTTCGACGTGAAGGAGCAGCGGCTCTACTCCAAGCTCCCTCTGGATGTCTGAGCTCCTCACCCTATCTCTAAGGCTGAGCCCAGCCGCCCTGCGGAGGAAGCTCATTTTGGCCGCTTGTATCTGCGATCTCATTCTTTTGGTCACGTCTCAGTGTCCACATTGCTGCTAACGCTGTACTGTCCACCTTGCGCTCCATTTTCCCGTCACTTGTGAACAAGATCCAGAGATACTTAAACTCCCTCGCTTGAGGAAGCAACTCCCTCCCCACCCAGAGGTGGCAATCCACCGGTTTCCGGCAGAGGACCATGGCTTCGGACTTGGAGGTACTGATCCGCTTGGCAATAAAACACTACCAAAATGTGCAGTGATGGACACGTTATCAATAGCAATCAGAACATTTTATAGAATGTATGATAGTTCCACTTAAAAGCATCAGATCTCCATGAAAGCACAAACCAAAAACACAAAGTCCAGCTGCATGAACAAACTCCAGGCGTGCTCACTGTCTGGATCATAATCAGCCTGTCATACCTTTGATGTGTACATGTGGGNAGTAAATATTCTATATGAACACGTTGAACAGTTTCCTACCAGCATTCCTGTCTTCACCATTTACAGTCGCGGCTCTTTTTACTGTCATATTTTTTAGAAATATATATATTCCTCATTGCTCTCCATTAAAACCATGTGTTACTGAAGCAGCTGAACACGATCGTTTCATTTTGTGCAGAAGAGTCACATGACGCGTTAAACGCTCCTTTTTATGTGAACAGAGTCTGAAGCAGAAAGTCTGAGTTGACAAGGAAAGTTGAACCACCTTTGTGATGCCCGTAATCTCTGGCTGGGGCTTTCGGTTTTGTCAATTCTGTCATGTCACTCAAGTTTCTGTTTTGTGTGCACATTTTATGTCTTGTCTTTCCTGTTTTATTTTGAAATCACTAACTGGTTGTCTTTGTCTTACATTTACTTCCTGCACCTGTCTTGTCACACCTGCTCCCTGATGGCTTTCCCTCACCTGTTTCCCATCTCCCCTCATTACCTCGTGTATATTACCTTGTGTGTCTCACTGTCTCGTCGCCAGTTCGTTGCACTTCACAGTCCTCGTACCAGTGTTATCAAGTCAAGTCTAGTCATAGTCACAGTCTGTTTGTTACGACCTTGCTTCTGGTTTTGGACCTTGCCTTTCGCCTCTTGCCTTTTGGATACCTCTGCCTTGTCTGACTGACCGAACCCTGCCTGACATTAAACCTGCCTTTTTGCCTGAACCTATTCTGAGTCGAGCATTTGTGTCCACCTGTTCTGTGAGTGAGTTCATGGCAAATTCGGCTCACACAAAGAAAGCCTGGCTATGTCAAACTGGCTTCGTAGTTCAGCCCTCAGAACTATGAAACTATGAAAAGAACACATATGGAATTATCTAGTAAACAAGAAAGTGTTAAACAAACCAGAGCATGTTTTATATTGGAGCCCTCTTTTGCTCTGATGACAGCTTTACACACACTCGACATTCTCTCAGTCAGCTTCATGAGAGGGTCAATTCGTGGAATTACTTCCTTTTGTAAAGCGTCTTTGAGTCTCTTAAAAAGCGCAACATAAAACCTATGTATTATT